GCACTGCTCACCTATCTTTGCTTCCATCGGTTCCTAAGCCTGAAGCCACTGAGCTGTGGTGGACTCAGGTCAGGAGGGCACTGAGCGGGGCTGGGTCTTGCCAGGCCCTACCTGGGGGCTCTCAAGCATGCAGGACGGAGGTTCAGCCCGCCGTGGCCCACTTGGGCAGGCATCTGCTCTGGGGGCCCACCTCTCTCTGTACTTGGGCAGCAATGTGTCCTGCACCACCCTCATCCATCCTGGGGGGAAGGGAGGAGGGGAGAGAGGGAAAGGCCCAGGTCCCCTGGACACACCGTCATTCAATCCAGCCTCTGGGACTGGGATGGGACAGAGACTGACTTGTACTTCCACTAAGGCCCCCACCATGACCCCAGCATGGCCAACTGGAACTGTGTGGATTTTGGAGTCAGACTGTGGGTTGGGATCCCAGCTCTGCCAGCGGTGACTTAGCCTCTGTGAGTCTCACAGGATGGAAGGTTGTTAAACACGAGGTCATAGAACAAGGTGGCACGCAGCCCTCCTGGCACAAATAGGGTGCTCAGTAAATGGGAGCTGTGCCCATTCTAATTCCTTCAAGGGAAGGAGAATGACTGGGCCTCTGGGAGGCCAAGGGCAGGGGCAGTCCCCTTCCTACCAAAGTCTTCCCTTCTGGCTAGTCTGGGGTTCAGACAGGTGAGCCTGTGCAGTAAATGTAGAGAGAAAGGGCTGGGCCAGAGCTGCACTGCCCGGTCACCCTTCCCGAAGGGCGTGGGTCCACCAGGGGCCAGGCCTCTCATCCCCGTCACAAAGCAGCTGGGCTAAGAGGAGACTAATCTCACGGACCAACTGCCTTTCCTTCCCTTGTCCATTCCTTCCTTCCTCCTTCTGAGAAGGATGTGAGATGCCTTAACCCCAAAGCGAAGGCACCATGAGATAAAAAACTAACACAGGGGAAAGGCAGAACCGTGTAGTTAGTGGGAGAGAAGAAATCAGGTGAAGGAACTCTGTCCAAAACGTCCAACAAAATTTTACGTGCTCTTTTCTTCAGATGCAGTAAACCCACTTCTAGAAATCTGTCCTTTGGAAAGCCTAAGGGCTAAAACCTGGAAATCATCTGAGTGTCTTTCAATGGGGAAGTGGTTGTGATATGTACATGATGATACGAAATTATGATGCGGCCAACGGAGCCGTATCAACACAGCCACACACACACACACACACACACACACACACACAATGAGAGAGATACATTAATGTCACGGAAGTTAAAAACGGATGACTTGGCTAATGGCTGTCTGAATGTAGGAGCCAACATTTAAAAATCAGATGATCACACATAAACACCAGATTTCAGGCAGCCCTCAGGTTCCTTTCCTCCTGGGCACCAAATCCTAGAGCCAAGGAGCAGCCACCCCTTTAGATGAAGCGTGTGCTCCCCCCACCCCACAGTCCCCACCACTCCATGTTGCCTCCCTGACACTGAGGCTGGAGTCGGGGCAGTGATCACTACCCTTGTACTGCAGCTTTCCTTAGTAAAACGTTGTACTCTTCTCTGTCTTTATCAAAAAACAGAGAAACAAAAGGTGGACTACAAGGGCCACGTGTCTCAAGGAAAATGAGAGGGAGCCTATTTCTTTGTGAAAATGAAGACTGTGCCTCTGTGTTTCACATGCAGATTCTGGGGCACTTCATTCATTTATTGTTTACTCTTATATATTATTTATTATGAAGCTGGTACATTACCTACCTATCCCCTATGGGCATTTTGGGTTTGCTACCCTTGAGTAATACAATAGTAACATGATTCTTTTTTTTCCCCTTTGGATAAAAAAACAACAGCAACAGAATTAAAATGAATTCCTTGTATGTATATCTGTATAAGCATGACATACACCAAATGTGAACAGTGGTTACTCAGACAGGCAGCATTAAGAAAGCCCTATCCCATTTTATATCATGTACTTCTAAATTGTTGTCTATTTCTTAGAACACATATGTATTGCTTTGTGATTTTTTAGAAAAGGTTATAACTTAAAAGATGATAAGTTAGAGTTAAAACTTTGGGCTGAGGGAAGCTTCCACAGCAGAGCGTAAGCCTTACCTGTGATGATCTTGGCAAGCCTGGGGGAACAGGTAAATGGAGCGCAGCATGAGCATCTAGCAGTGCCCACAGGAGAAATGTGCCTTTTCTGGTCTAAGCACGAAGAGGAATCTGTACCAGGGAAAGGAAGAGAGCTACCAGCTACTGGGAAGTGACTCTGCCAGGCTCTGGGCACGCAGGCCGGGCTACCTCACGGAATTCTTGTCCCAATTTGGGTGAGGAGGTTGTGTGTCAGCGTTCCATTCTTCCTCCCTTCTTTTTTTTTTTTGGCTGTGCCACGCACCTTGTGGGATCTTAATTCCCCGAACAGGGACCGAACCCAGGCCCTCAGCAGTGAAAGTGCAGAGTCCTAACCACTGCACCACCAGGGAATTCCCCTTCCTCCCATTTCTAAAACCAGTTTTATTGAAGTGTACTTTATATGCCATCGAATTTGCCCATTTTAAGTGTAACGATTTGTCACTCTTTCATTGAAAAAAGTCACTTTTTCTATGATTTTTAGCAAATTTTCAGTTGTACAAACATCACAGCAATCCAATTTTAGAACTTTTCCATCACCCCAAAAAGATCCCTGGTGTCCACTTGTAGTCACTCCCCATTCCCACCCCAAGCCTCAGGCAACCACTCATCTGCTTTCTATCATTTCTGCCTTTTCTGGACATTCCATGGAAATGGAATTAGACGATACATGGTCCTTTGCTTTTGGTTTCTTTCACCGAACATGTTTTTGAGTTTCATCCATGGTGTTGCCTGTATCAGTACTTTGTTCCTTTTGAGTGCTAAATAGTATTCCACTGTGTGGAGAGGTCACATTTAGTTTTCACTTACCAGTTGACGGACATTTGGTTGTTCCCGCTTTTTGACTACTATCAATAATGCTGCTATGAACATTCATGTACAAGTCTTTGTGGGGATGTGTGTTTTCGTTTCTCTTGGGTAGATACCTAAGAGTGGAATTGCGGGGTTGTATAGTAGATTTAGGTTCAATTTTTTTAAGAAACTGCTGAACTGGCTTCCAATATGGCCGCACCCTTTTACATTCCCGCCACCTGTATGAGGGTTACAGTCTCTCCGTAACCTCTCCAGCCCTTTGCGCTTGACGATGATTAAAATGGAGCTAGGAGGAGAAAGACTTTCCTAGGTCACACTGCAGGGAGTGGCAGAACAGAATTGGAGCCCAGGTCGACCTGACTCCACAGCCTGTGTCTTTGCCCTGGTCTGCTCATGTGAATGGACTTTCACCTTGTGCAGGGACTGGAGACCCTAAAGAGGTTGATCACTGGGATCTGCCAGGCTGGGGTCCCAGGATATGGGAAAGGGGCTTAGAGATGTCTGAGAAGTGATTGGAGAGGGGTCCTCAGCGGCCCTGGCTCACGCCTCCACCTGGGGATGTGGGTCTCAGCCTGGGGAGGTGGTGGACGCCAGCCAGCATGGTTCTGACTTCTGTCAGTACACAAGGCCTGGCACTGGGTGACCTTCTCTCTGCCCCAGCCCACATTCCCAGGATGACATTCCCCTGCCGCAGACATTCCCTTCTTCTGCTTGGGCCGGAATATGTCCCCTTGTCCCCCATCCTTGGCCTCCATGGGAGGAAGGATGGGCTCTCCTGTCCCAGCCCCAGGATCTTTACCTCTTTCTGCCAACTTCAGGGTCCACATGAAACCTTAGAGTGTTGAACAGGAGAGACAAGGTCATCAGTCCATCTGCTGCCTCGGGGAAGGGCTGGTCACAGGACCCCTGTTGGTCCCGCCTCGAGATGGACATCCAAGGAGGTGGGACCTCTCCATCTCAGCATGGGTCTGGCTAGCAGGTGGCAGGGTAGCCCCTGTGGTCCTAGTCATCCCTCACTCCCCCACCCTTGGGTCACCTTTTTAGAATGACCGCCATGGCCCCAAAAAGTGGCCTCATGGACAAAAGGATGTAGACCACCCATCCAAGCCTCCTTTGCAAATGATCTGGAGAACTTAGAAAAAGGAGGAAGAACAGAAGTGTGCATTTATTGAGCCCCAACTATATGCCAAGGCTTTTTCATTTTTTTGACCCTCATATCATCCATGAGAACTAAACCCTTACCTTTCCCCTGAGAAAACAGACTCAGAGGTTCAACGGCTCACCTCACATCTCACATACGAAATGTTAAAGCTCTGTTTCCACCTACCGCACACAGTAAAAAAGGCTAGGGTGTGCCTGGGACACTGTCGCAAGTGTGAGCATTGGCCTCAGGCATACCTTTCCCACTGTGTGACCTTGGGGAAATGACTGAACCTCTCTGAGCTGCAGCTGCCCCATCTGTAAAATGGGGCTACCAGACCCATGTTGTGCAGACTAGATGAGATCCCCATGTGAGGGATTCGCATGGGGCCTGGCACTAGGCAAGAATGAGCAGAGATGGTTAGATTATTTCCTGGGACTGGGAAATTTTCCAGGCTAGTGAACAGAGCCTGCTGGTTTTCAGTCTCCTCTAACCCCTTGGAAGGGGCTATTTTTGATGCTTTGACCTTCTGTCAATTGGGTCTGTCCCCAACCCATTCTCAGGAGGCAGAGGAAGGGTAGAAACCCCAAGGATCTGACAGTCCCACTCTTCTGGGGCAGCCGCAAATCCACTGCAGACTGCCCACCCTCAGGGGGCAAATCCCAGCTGGCAGGAAAATGTCTCTAGGGTCCCCAAGGCCTCCTCTTCCCCTCCAGCTATTCTCTCTCCTCTTCCTTGCTGCACCCCTAGAGGCTTGCCCATCCTTCAAGGCTGTCAGACCTCCCCCTCCAGGGAGCCTCCTGGTGTGTCTGCCAGCCCCCTTGGCCCAGTGCCCAAGGCATTGTTGGGAACAGAGGCCTGGGAGCTCTGCTTAAGGTAGGACCAAGGGTCCCCTGGGGACAACCCTGGGCTGGCACGATCCAAGCTGTGGTCTCCCGGACCCTGCAGAGGAGGCGCTGTGGACAACTCGGGCCGATGGGCGCGTCCACCTGCGCATAGACCCCAGCTGCCCACAGACTCCCTACACTGTGCATCGGATGTTCTGCGAGGCTCTGGACAAGTACGGGGACCTCAGCGCTCTGGGCTTCAAGCGACAGGGCATGTGGGAGCACATCTCCTACAACCAATACTACCTGCTGGCCCGCAAAGCCGCCAAGGGCTTCCTAAAGGTGAGGGAGCCCCTCAAGGCACAGCCTCTCCCCTCCCCAGCCCTGCCTTCCAGCTCTGGCCCTCACAGGCCTCTTTCCGACGCCCCACTGGGCAAGCCCTTAGAAAGGATAACAGTAAAAACCAGCCCATTTATTGAGCTAATTGTCCGCTCTGGCCTGGTGCTGAGGGTTTACGTTCACTGGGCCCTTGCCATGTGCCAGGACGTGACACGAGCTTCTCGTTTTTTGTCCCATTCAAGGGGCCTGAGAAGCCTGGTGCACTGGGTTGAGGTCTGGGCTCCCCGGGAAGGCCCTGGGAGGGGCAGCAAGGGCTGTTGAGTGCCTCGTCCCCCAGGGCACTCTCTAATGAGGGAGCCTGGGAGGGTGGTCCCTCAGGTGGGCGGCAGGGTCCCTGCAGTTTGGAAGGGGGGCTTGGTGAGAATGAGAGGCTGACCCGGCCTGTCTGCCTTTGGCCTGGAGCTCGGCCTGGAGCGGGCCCACAGCGTGGCCATCCTCGGCTTCAACTCCCCGGAGTGGTTCTTCTCGGCAGTGGGCACAGTATTCGCAGGGTGAGTGGCTGAGGGAGGGGCCGGGTCTCCAGTGGGTTGGAGGTGGGCAGAGAGCGGAGAGAGGGTCGTTATCTCTTTTTAGGGGCCCCCAACCCCGTCCCCAACATCCCATCTCTTCCCCGGGGCCCTCCCCAGCACCACCTTTGTCCCTGCTCTGCCTAGGGCGACTGTGCTGAGCTGCCTGTCTGGGCCACGGGAGCTCTCTGGGCCTGGGGGCTGTGGGCGTGTCGGGCAGGGGGCTGGGCCAAGGGGGTGGCCCACTGCACCTGCCCAGACACGCATCCTCCTGGGTCTCCTGCAGTGGCATCGTCACTGGCATCTACACAACCAGCTCCCCCGAAGCCTGCCGGTACATCGCCCATGACTGCCGTGCCAACATCATCGTGGTCGACACGCAGAAGCAGCTGGAAAAGATCCTGAAGGTTTGGGGGAAAGGGACCAGGGCCATGGGGGTCAGGCTGGGCGTCCTCACAGACCTCCAGCTTACAAAGGGCTTTTCCACCCTCCCTGCCAGAATCCTCCATCATTCTCAACAGCAACCCGCCCCACCACACGCACACAGGCAGGGCAATGGCCGCCGACCCATTTGCCAGGTCTGGAAACTGAGGCCCAGAGTGTCCAAGGGACATACTCCACATCCCTCAGCCAGCCTGCTCTCCCCCATGGCTTTCCCTTCAGGGAGGGCTTGTGTGCCCTGAGGGTGGCTCAGGGCTCTGACACGTGAGCACCCAAGTCTGAATCTCGACGGGGAGTGGGGGTGTGGGCTGCCACAGGGTGGGGCTTGGGCTAAGCCACAGCAAGTGCCGCAGGGTCTTCTGAAGACAGCAGGGCACTGGAGGGGCTCAACAGTGCCTCTTGGGGCAGCTGGGTCTTTTCTGGAGCATTGATGCCTCCTGATTCATTTAAGGTCCCTCCCTGATTGGCTCTGTCCTCATGGGCACCACACTGGCATGCAGCGGCCTGAGGGCACCTCTGTGCCCCAGCTACACCCAGTAGCCTGCGAGATCCTCCAAGGCTCCCTGCATCTCAAAGGAGGCTCCCGGGTTGACTTGTTGGCTGGGCCCTAGTTCTGGAGGTATCACCTGGACCTCAGCTCCCCACCTGTACCTGAGGGCAGGAGAAGTGGTCTCCAACCTCCTAGGACTGTGAGATCTGGATCGCAGGACGGGCCTTCCCTCAGCTTGCGTGAAGCCCTTTTCTGTCTCCACTCCTTTTGAACCCTGTTGTCAGGGTTCCCTCATTCTGAGGGCCTCCATTCTGTCTGATTTGGATAAATGCTTGAGATTGGGGGAGGAGATGTGGGTGCAGATAAAGTGGCCCAAAGTGAACGGCTCTGAGAGACTGAGGTGAACTCGAGCTGTCCTCAGCACCCCCTTTCGCCCTCCCCCTCCCCAAGCACTTGGGCCCTTCACTTCATAGAAAGGGGACAAATATTTAGAGAAGAGTGCACAGCAGGGGTGTCCCAGGCCCCCTAGGACTCATCGGGGCCCTGATTTCCTCAGGTTTGGAGCCTTCATAGATGCCAGAGCCCTCTGACCCAGGTGCCCCCAGGCCAGCTTTGCTTGAAACCCCCACCGGTTTAAGATTCCTTGAGAGCCTCAGCTACCAAGTAGCAATGGTGTTAGCTCTCGTCCTCAGCCTTACCCAAGGGAGTCACACACTCCTCAGCGTGGGCGCTCATGTCAGAACCCCAGAGTGGGGAGGGCAGTGGAGCTTTAAAAAGCCCCCCAGTAGTTTTGCCCCATCCCTCAGGGAGACAACCGCTCTGCATAGATGGTTGATCTGATCCCAATGCCCTCCCCCTGCCCCATTTTACCACTGAAGAAACCGAGGCCCAGACCTACTGAATCAGAAATGTCCACCCTAGGTAATTATTTAAAATTCGTATTATGAAACTTTCCAGATAAACAAAAATAGAGAGAAGAGTGTAGTGGACCCTCATAGAGTGCTCACCCAGATTTAATCATCATCACTGTTTTTTGTCACACTCATTTCATCAGTTTACCTATTTTGCTGAAGTATTTGAAGGCAAATCTCTGACATCACAGCATTTCACCCCCCGAATATTTCAATACCTCTAACATATATGACATTTTTCTTAATCACAAGTAACTTTATCACCTTTATTTACACAAGTCAAAGAATTCTTTCATATCATCTAATACCAGCAATGTCTTTTTACAGTTGGTTCATTTGAATCAAGATCTGAACCAGGCCCATGTGTTGCATTTGGTGGTGTCTCTTAAGAGTCTTTTAATTCAAAACAAAGGCCCCACCTTTTGTTTCCCGTACCATACAGCAGTGTGGTCCAGGACCAACAGCATCCCCCGGGAGCTTAGTTTCAGAACCCCCCCAGACCTACTGATTCCAAAACTCGGGGTATGGGGCCCACGCCTCCTGGTGATTCTGACACAGGCTCAAGTGTGAGAACCTCTGTCATTGACGTGCTGCAGAAACTAGGTTAGCCGTCCTGAGCTTGTCCCTCTAACCTCTGCACTTCCTGTTAGATGGCAAGTGTTGATGCATTTCAGATTAGACAGTGATTGGCAGGAGCAACCCATAGGTGGCGCTGTGTACTTCCCATGGCACAGCCTCAAGAGGCACGTGATGTCAGGTGGTACCTCGTAGTGAACTCTGAGTTTCATCCCTGGATTCCTGTGGTGGCTACCTGCTCATCCACTGTGACATTCCCCATCAGCCTTTCTCCACTGATGATCTTTGCCTGAATTAATTATTTCATGAGCCATGGGAAAATGTTTGTTTTCTAATTGATCAGCTGGGATTCTTCTCCAAAGGAAGAACTTTCTCTCATCACCTGGGACTCTTTGCTACCTGAAGCACTCCATTTGTACACAGCAGGTGTGGTAGACAGAATATAAAGATCTATGTTGGTGACTGTTCCACGCATATTTGAAAGAATGTGCATTCTGCAGTTGTTGGGCAGAATGTTCTATAAATGTTAATAATGTCAACTTGATTGATAGTGTTCTAATGTTGTTTAAGTCTTCTATATCCCTGTTGATCTTCTGTCTACTTGTGCTAACAAATACTGAGAAAGGGAATGTTGAAATCTCCAGTTATTGTTGAGGATTATCTATTTATCCTTTTGGTTCTGTCCAAGGGACATACCCCACATCCCCCAGCCAGCCTGTTTCATGTATTTTGAAGCTCTGTTATGTATACACATATTTAGGTTGTTATGCCCTCTGGATGAATTAATCCCCTTATCATTAAGAAATGTCCCTCTTTATCTCTGGCAACTGTTCCTCCAAAGTTACTTTGTCTTAAATTAATATAGCCACTCCAGATTTCTTATGATCGATGTTTGCATGGTATATATGTTTGCATTGTTTCACTTTTAACCTACATGTGTCTTTAGATTTAAAGCAAGACTCTTATAGATAGCGTATAGCTGGGTCATGCCTTTTAATCCAGTCTGACAAAATTGTCTATAAAACTACCAGTTGGCTGTTTTGCATTTGTCCGATCCATTCTTTGATCCTTTTCTCCCCTTTCATGACTTCTTTTGGATGGAGTTTTCTGTTTTTATTTTGGTTTGGTTTTGAGTATTCCATTCTATCCATTGGTTTACTAGCTCTCCCTCTAGTGTTTGCTCTAGGGCTTACACTATGCAACTTTAACTCATCACAGTCTACTTTCAAATAATATTATAATATAATATTGTACTACTTTACATATAATGTAGGAATCTTACAGCAGTGTACTTCCTTCTCTCTCCATACTTTGTGCTATTGTCATTTATACTTAAATTCTATGTGAGTTATAACTCCTGCAATGCAGTATTTTAAACCGTCAAGTATCATTCAAAGAAATTTTAAAGGAAGGAAAAAGTGTCTTTTTATTTACCCACGTATTTGCCATTTCTGGCACTCTTCATCCCTTTATGTCGAACCCAAGTTTTCATCTGGTTCATCTTCCTTCCTCCTTAAGAATTTTCTTTCTTTTTTTTAATTTTACTTTTTTATTGGGGTATAGTTGTTTTACAATGTTATGTTAGTTTCTACTGCACAGCGAAGTGGAGTTCCCTGTGCTATACAGCATGTTCTTATTAGTTATCTATTTTATACACATTAGCATATATATGTTAATCTTCAACATTTCTTGCAATACAAGTCTGAAGGCAATGCATTCTGTCAGCTTCTCTTTGTCTGAAAACTTGTTCATTTTTGCTTTCATTTTCTGAAAGATATTTTCATTTAGTTTATAGTCCTAGGTTGACAGGGTTTCCTTTTTTTTCTTTCAGCTCTTTAAAGACTTCATCCCAGTGTTTTCTACTTTGCATAGCTTCTGATAAGAAGTCTATAATTTCTTATCTTTGTTCCTTTCCACATGGTGTATCTTGCTTTTCTGGCCGCTTTTAAGATTTTTTCCTTTGTCACTGGTTTTCAACAGTTGGATTATGTTGTGTCTTGGTGTGGTTTTTCTTTGTGATTATCCTGCTTGGGGTTCACCGGGAGTCTTGAATTGATGGATTTATAGTTTTAATCAAATTTGGAAATTTCTCAGACTTTTTTCAATTAACAAAAATATTTCTTGGAACTCCAATTACACATATGTTAGGCTTCTTAGTTTTCTCCTGCAGGTTAATTTTTTCCATTTTTTTTCTCTCTTTCAATTTCATTTTGAGACTTGTGTTTAATTAAGCCTTTCAGAGCAGGTTTAGATAGCCTTTCCTCTAAGGCTAATTTAGCCCCAGACCTAAGACCTGACCCTTCTGGGGTCTCTATTTCCAGAGGTCCCTCCACTCTGGCTGATGGAGACACAAATAGTTCTGGCCCCGTACATGCTCTTGTTTGTCTTCTAGCCCCAGTCCTTGATCTTCCTCCAGCATTTATTCTTCATCTAGTTTCACGGAGTTTCACCTATGCCTGTGCAAGTTGATAATCCGCCAAAGAATCAAGATGACCCCTAAAGAAATTTCTAGAACTCTTTCTCTGCATAGTTCTCTCCTGTCTGGTATTCTGTCCCACAAATTCTAGGCACCTCGGCTTTCCTGAACTCTGACCTCTGACACCTCAATTCAGTGAGATAACTGAGTTCTGGTTTCCCTCTACCCTTTCCTCTCTTCTCTCTTCTGCAGTCACACAGTCCCCTGTTGCACTCAGCCAGGCCCCAGGTTGTCTGGTTTTCCTTTAATAGAAGTCATTCCTTGCCCCCTGCTTATCCCACCTTGGCTGCTTCAAAGTTCTCATGATGGGGAACCATGCATGAAGGGTGGCAAGTGTCCTGCTGAGTGAAAGGTCAGAGCTGGGGACCAACAACCTTTGCCACAAGGTGCCTGCCAGGCTGACTAACACCTGGAGATGGGGCTCTTCTCAAGAGGTGACTTTTTAAAATGAAACCCCATTTATTTTTCCTGTCAATACAGATCTGGAAAAACCTGCCACACCTGAAGGCAGTAGTGATATTTCAAGAACCTCCTCCGACAAAGATGGCCAATGTGTACACGGTATGGGTAGAGGGCTCGTGTGGGGCAGGTGGGGTCTGTGTGAGCCTGCCCAGCTCACCTGGCCTGTCTACACTCTCCCACCTGGCCGCAGATGGAGGAGTTCATGGATCTGGGGAATGAGGTGACTGAGGAGGCCCTGGACACCATCATCAATGCCCAGCAGCCTAACCAGTGCTGCGTGTTGGTCTACACGTCAGGCACCACTGGGAACCCCAAGGGCGTGATGCTGAGTCAAGACAATGTAGGACAGATGCCCAGATGGGTGGGGGTGGGCTATGGGTGGATCTGGGCAGTGGCCCTGCCCTAACAACTCCCAGGGAGTTTCCTTCAGTCTCTCAGCTCAGGGAGCTGGGATAAGTGGGACAACCCTTAAGTCTGTGGTACAGACTGAGCCCAGCAAAATGGTGGGGATTGGGAGGGGGAGGCCTGTCCCAGGGTGTTTCCTGCAGAGATGCCCAGGAGGGTGAACAACCTCTAGGGTGTTCAAAGAACACTCCAAAGAAATAGCCCAAGCCCACAGGGTGGCCACAGATGTGAACACTTCCAGGGCTGGCTTTGTAGACACTGCCAGGACCCATCTGCCTGTCCGCCAGATCACATGGACAGCACATTACGGCAGCCAGGCTGGTGACATCCAACCCGCAGAAGTCCAACAGGAGGTGGTGGTCAGCTACCTGCCCCTCAGCCACATTGCTGCCCAGATTTATGACCTGTGGACAGGCATCCAGTGGGGGGCCCAGGTCTGCTTTGCTGAGACTGATGCCCTGAAGGTCAGTCTGCCTCTCTGCCTAAGTGGGTGTCCAAGTGTGTGTGCAAGGGCCTGCCCAAGTGTGTGCTTGTGTCTGTGGGCCCTGTGTGTGCATCATAAGCACGCCGGTTCCCCATGTGTTTAGCAGTCAGAATTCTTTCAACTGCAGTTAGCACAGCCTGACTCAGATGATCAAACAAGAAGGGAAACTGATGATATTACATAAAGGAAAGTTGAGTCAGAGTGGTGTGTGGGTCCACAGCGCCATCTAGGACGGGCCACCCTCAGAGTAAGATCACAGGATGGTCACAGACGGCCACGGCCCTGCCCTGCATCCCAGCCTCATAAACTACACCTGTGCTTGGGATCCTTCTTTTAACCATGAGGAGAACGTCCCCAGAGCCCCCTAGCAGACTTCCCCCACCCCTACATTGGCCCAAATGTTGTCCCATGTCCATTCATCAACCAGTCACTGCTTAAGGGAATGGGATTACCATGTTTGAGTTAGACTAATAAAAAGTCACTGCCCCCAGGACTGGGAGGGGACTGAGGTACTTCTGAAGCATCTGGCCACCCTGGTACCTGAGCTACATCAAGGTTCTTTTAGCAAAGAAGAGCAGTGAGTAGATGGCTGTTGAGTCGTAGCCAACAGTATGTGACATGAGTTGCATGCGGTGTGTGCGTACACCTGTGTGAGCTACTGTATACAGGATGCCTGCGTGTGTGCACGCTGACTCTGGTGACAGGGGCCTCCTGGCTCCCGGCCGGCTCTGAACCACAGCCCTGTCTCTCGCTGGCTGCGAACAGGGGAGCCTGGTGAACACGCTGAGGGAAGTGGAGCCTACGTCCCACATGGGGGTGCCGCGGGTGTGGGAGAAGATCATGGAGCGGATCCAGGAGGTGGCGGCTCAGTCTGGCTTCATCCGGCGCAAGATGCTGCTGTGGGCCATGTCGGTGACCTTGGAGCAGAACCTCACCTGCCCAAGCAGGTAGAGAGGGCCAGGGGGCAGGAGGCCTGGGGAGGCAGCAGGGCTGGGTCATAACCCCAGGACACAACCTAGGATCTGATAGGCCAGGTTTGTCCAGGCCCCATTGGCCAGGCTTGTCCAGACCCCTGCACAGAGGCCCCATCAGTGGCTGGGCTTGAGCCAGATCCCACAGGAGACCATCACCCCATCTTTGGGTCTGACTGCAAGGACTGACTTGCTCCCTCTGGGGTGGCATTTACCTCCCTGGAAGCAGCTCCTGGCAGCCTCCTGAGGGGTCTCCTCCTGACTTCAGTAGGTGGCTATAGAGAAGGGGCCACAGTGATGGGGGTTTTCCAGCCTTCCCATAATCCAAAGTGACCACTCATCTCTCGCCCACAGCCTTTCGATTGCTTTAAAATTCCCAAACAGTGCTGTGGGAGGATCAATGGCATAAATCTGGCCTGTTCCAGTTTAGAAATATTTTCCATTACTAGTGTGTCTGTGAAACGGTATCATGTCTCATGAGACATGTACACGTGTCTATGCACTTAGGGCTTCATTTGCACAGACATGAAAAGTGAATATGCATGAATGACCCATTCAAGAGCTTCAAATGGGATCAGACACATGTTTGTGTCTGTGCATATATACTTCAAGTCTCTACAAGTGTGTATTACTGTGTATTGCTGTGTGCGAACTTGCGTGCCTCTGTGTTGTCTGTGCAAGCATACACAGCTGAATCTGGTTTTCTAACTTCCCAGCTCAAGACGTATTTGCACATAACTACGTGTACACACCTAGGTGTGCATGCATGTTCACAGGCAGGGCCAATATTAAAAATATTTAACAGTGGATTCAGCATCGCCACTAACCAATCAGAATAGATCATTGGAACGGCCATTCCGGGTACCCACTGAACACCCACCCTTTTAATGCAAGTGTGTGTGTGTGTGTGTGTGTGTGTGTGTTGTCTTCTGTGAGCCATTCTCCCTCTCCCACCAGCGATCTGAAGCCCTTCACAACCCGACTGGCAGATTACCTGGTGCTAGCCAAAGTCCGCCAGGCACTGGGCTTTGCCAAGTGTCAGAAAAACTTCTACGGAGGAGCCCCCATGACCGCGGAGACACAGCACTTCTTCCTGGGCCTCAACATCCGCTTGTATGCGGGCTATGGCCTCAGCGAGACCTCGGGCCCTCACTTCATGTCCAGCCCCTACAACTACCGGCTCTACAGGTGTGGCCCAGGTTTCAGCACATATGCCAGCCTGCACGTCCTGGCTGACACCCTTCAGTGCCGCCCCCTGCTGATTAGGTCCCTGAGCCCAGGCCACTGGACTATGGGTCCCTGAGTGCCAACAGCTCTATCTTGGGCCAAGTCCCTTGGCCAGGCCCGAGTCTCGTGGGGATGGTCTCTGTGACAGTGTCACTTGGGTCTGTGGTTGCAAACAGCCTTGCAGCCCAGGGGCTTCCTGAGCAGGGCTCTGATGGAGGAATTTCCCTTTGGCCTCTGCCTCCAGTAGGGTGGGGTGTGTTAGCGGGTGTCCCAGCATTGCTGGTAGCCCTGGTTTCATCTGGGATGGGAGCTGGGGGGACTGGGCCGGTCCTCTGGTGTGGGGTAGGGGGCAATCAGCTCTAGGGAGTGAGTTGAAGGATTCTCTGTTGTGCTTAAACACCTCCCCTCCCTGCTTGCCCATCACAGTGCTTAAAGTCCCATTAGGATTTCCCCCACTGATTCATTCATTCACCTAAAAACCTTTAACTGGCCCTACGTCTCAGCTCTGAGGACCCTATTAAATTACAAAAATCCTGGGAAAGGACATTCTAGCCATCGGTGAAGACTAGATGGATCAGACTAGGGGCTGATCCAGGGCTTGGAGGAAACTGCTCCCTCTGACCATGCCTCCCGGCCCCTCCATCCCCCCAGCTCCGGCAAGGTGGTGCCAGGCTGCCGGGTGAAGCTGGTGAATGAGGATGCAGAGGGCATCGGAGAGATCTGCCTGTGGGGCCGCACGATCTTCATGGGCTACCTGAACATGGAGGACAAGACGTGTGAGGCCATTGATGCCGACGGCTGGCTGCACACGGGCGACTCAGGCCACCTGGACGCCGACGGCTTCCTCTACATCACTGGGCGTCTCAAAGGTGAGCGCCTCTGGCTGGGTTCGAGGCTGTGCTGGGACATCGGAGGAATTATACTGCCACCACAATTTATACCCACTACAAGTGTTGAGCCCTTATTAAGTGCCACACACCTTGAATGACGTCATTTTACTTACTATTGTCTCCCATGGGAAAGATGCTATCATTACCTCGACTTATTAATGAGGACAACCAGAGAGGTTAAGTAACTTGCCCAAGGTCACCCAGCTAGTAAATGACAGAGCTGAGATTCAAAGTCCCTAGATAAACAAGGCAAGTCTTTCCAGAAAATTTGAGGACATAAATATGTATTTTTATATGCAAACATGGATATGAGGCAGAGTAGAACACAAATTGGACATAAAATTTAAAATAGAGCATTTTCAAAGAAAA